GAAATCAAGATCTGTTTACTATGTGGCCACAATTCTCCGGCCAACCACAGTGCGTGTTAGGATTTGCGTCTAGGGCGTATAGTGTCTAAAAATAACTCTATAAATACCATTTTCATCAGTGATAAATCTAATCTCCATCACTTAATCATGTTGACCACCCCAATGAAATATTTTTGTGTGCCTTAAAAGTATGTTGCCTTCCTTTTCCTGGGACTCTCTTATTGAATTAGGTGGATACATGAAGCTTTCTTTTACCAAGGCAATGAGGCCAAGTAAAAGTTTGACTCCTTTTACATTTATTTAAGTTTTATGGTGTTGAACTTTGAGATTTGTTTCCTCCCACTTAGTTGTTATGCTCTTCCATGCAGTTGAAGGGTCACAAGCTTTTTGTGAGGTCTATATCGTAGATACCATTACCTACTTAGTGTCAGACGCAGGATCAAATCCATCATTTATCTGTCCACAATACAACAACATCACAATGATCTGTTACATTGTCACATTTTTTTCTTTCTCATCTGATTTCCAGGAAAGCACTCATAAGAGAACTTGATATGTTTTTCTATAGAACTAAAAAGATAAGGAACCTAGCTTGGCTGACTACATCTGGCATTAGAAATGCTTCCTTAGAAGACAAGGGAGTTCAGCTTAGTGACACTAAAGGATGTCATTTAATACTGACTTATCTAAAAATCCCAAGGTCTGGACTTTTTCCATTCATAATGTCTGTAATTACCAATCTTTGTCTTTGCTTCAGACTCAGAAAGCGCAAGAAATCCAACAAGCCTTTACTACACTTCCGTGTCTCCCTGAGCTCTTTTCAAAGGACCTTTTGGTTTTCCATGAGAAGCATTTAGTTCTTTAATTGCATGTTAAACTTCTAGCTTAGTGGCTAGAGAGAGCCAGAACTAGCGCAATTAAACACGAGCGGTAGTTCCAGGTTCACGTTCATCACCTTGATCAGTTGTAAATTGTAGGCTAGAGAAAACTAGCAAGAAAACAGAGGGAGACATCTGGGCCACCTATTTAGCTCTCCTCCAAGAGAGCCTAAGAGAGAAGTCATGTGGAGGAGCGAGGCGGGTTTGATGTGCAGCAACCACTGCAGGTCTGGGCTGCTTTGCTGAGCAGAGACTGGCAGCCTGAGCTACGTACATCATCCAACGCCTGTGGGTGCCACTGAAGCAGTATTTCTGTTGCAGGGCTGAGAATGCCCATTTCTCTGTAGCTGATTAAGGAGTAATTTTACTGTGTCTACTTTCTGAGTTGACCACTAGATCCTGGCTGACTGTTGACTCTGTTTGCCATTCTGGAGGAATGGCTATGAAAAGGAAGGATTCTTCCTTTGAGACCCTAAATGAGTGACTGGCCTCTCTAAGTCTCGTGAAGCAGTTGTCCCTCTCACAAAAAAAAAAAAAAAAAAAAAAAAAAGGTTATGTTATTTTGACCAGACTTATGAGTGACTTCAATAGATTTACACTAGAAAAAAAGTCATTCTTCTACATTGCCTAGGAATCTCTTAAGGGTACAGTACAATATTTCATAGTACTTAGTAGTACTACTATTAATAGTACTATTACTAGTATTTAATAGTACCAATAGTACTTAACAGTACAGTACAGGGGTCAACAAACTTTTTTTTATACAGGGCCAGATAGTAAATATTTCAATCTTTGCTGGCCACACGGTCTCTGTTGTAATTACTCAGCTCTGCTAATGCATGTGGAAGCAGCCATAGGCAATACACAGACAAATGGCTGTGGCTGTGTTCCAATAAAACTTTATTTGTGGACATTGAAATTTGAATTTAGGATGATTTTCACATGTCACAAAATATTCTTCTTTTCTTTTATTCCCCCAATTATTAAAACATGTAAAAATCACTTTTAGCTCACAAGTGGTCCAATAACAGGCAGCAGACCAGATTTTTTTTTTTTTTAGCAGATTTGGTTTGCCAAAATTTTTTGTAGTAAAAATAGCCCACAGCTTAGGACCTTGTGACCTGGATTTGAGACAAGGAGCTATGATTCACTGGCCTTGTAAACTTGGCCAATTTGCCCAAACCCTAGTTTTCCCTCTATAAAATGTAAATTATAATACTCAGCCTCTCATGGTGAATCATAATGAAATAAGATAATTTGTACAAGTGCTCTTAATGCTCTCAAACACCATACCATGTTGGGTAAAATATCATTTTGTTATTATTATACATTCTGTGATTTATCAAAATATCTTAGCAGCCTTCTGACAGAATTTTGACTTCTAGATGACACTCTGCATCTAAAGCACTCAAGACATTGAAGGCAGAACTATTAGGAAGAGGTGTGCTTTACTAAATTTTAAATTAAAGGCTCACATTTTCTTAAATACAGGTTGGCCATAAAGTTTAGAAACAAGATAATGTTATTTTAGTGTATTGTAATGTAATATCAACGAATCATCTATTAGGTATATGTTACCTATGTTTTTCAATGTTAAAGCCATCCATTGAGAGGAAATCTCCTGGAAGATAATGTTTACCATATATAGAGGACACTGAACTTTCAACTACCTTCCTGACATTTCTAAATCATACAGAGTATCACCCAAGTCAAGGAAAAAAAGACTGAAGAGTAGCCAGACTATTAGCAAACTGTTTTGGAAATGATTTACTATGAGTATTTTAACCATATTCTTTCAGCAAATCAAATGATTTCCCATTCTTCTGGTGAGTTCAGGTAGTTTTCTAATAGCTTTCTTATGCCTCCTTTTTCTGTCCACCAGTTCCCACCTTTGTAAGCAGTTTCTAAATATCCCAAAGACACTGGCCTAAATCTAAATAAAAAAGCAAAGGGGAAAAAAGTAAGAAACGTGGAATGTAAGAAAATGTGGGGATGGAAAGCATAAGAATGTTGCTCTGGAGAATTCAAAATTTAGACTATTAAATGAAGTCATGAATAGTTTTTAAATTAGAATGCAATGAAAAATAGACATTTCAGAGCCCTAGCTTGGTTAAACCTGCAAGAGAAAATTGTGCTTAAGAAATAGGTTGACATTTGCAGCTGGATTTCTGTTAGGGAACATAAGGTACTGAACTAAAACAGTAGAATTGGAACTGGAGAACCAGGTAAAAGAACAAAGGGTGGGGATAGATGGAGGAAGGGAGTTGGGGAAGAAAGAGTTCTGCCTCATGGACATAGATGGGATATATGTTGGAACAACCAGGCTGGAAGGCCATGTTTGAAGGAACATTGAAGGAACAGAAAAGTTGACATTTGCTATGTTAATGCAAAAGAGTATAGCTTGCCCAGGGGACAGCTAAAACATAAATGATTTTATTGGTTCCAGAAAGTTGATTTATAAATGAATGGGTGCTTTTCCAGTTGGAGAGCACGTTGAGGTGGGCGGAGGTGAGAATCCAAGGAACTCAGCAGCCTTGTGGTGGGGGTCATGTTTGCATCTGAACCTGCCCTTCCATCCAGGAGCACTTTGTTCTGTCAGATTGGGGTCAACCGTGGCAAACCATACCCTTAAATTCCAAATTCTTATCGGGCTCACGGATCCCACCATGCTTTATGGAAAAGCGACTGAAATGCATTAACCAAACAGACCAAAGGATCAAGTTGAGAGTGATCTTCACTGGTTATGGATACTGTTGTATTAAAAGAGACTTTTAAAAAATTCTCATTGCACTTGGTTTGCTAATGGAGTGACTGAGGGAATGAGGACTGGATATTGGAGAATAGAATGAGTAGAAATGGTGGGGTCAATTTTGTTGAACTGTCTTAATGGAAAACACCATTCGCTCACTACTTGCTGCTTAGAAAATCAGTCTCAATGAACTTTCAGTTCCAAATTTTAACGGTTGACACAAAATACACTGTTAAACTGTGTTAACAACTGTAGAAAAATAGACATGTTTGATAGGGACATTCTAGTAAAAGGTTCTTCAGGAGCATCCTCATTTAAAGATTCAGAGGCTCACATTACAAAAACGAGATTTGGTTCAAGTTCTGTCTCCAACTACATTGACAACAAAGACAGTGAGAAACAGGGAGAGACCTCACATCTGGGTGCCCGTCACAGACACAGAACTGACAGGTGCACGTGGCCAACGTGTTGTCAAGGCTCTTCGTTCAGTTGTGCTAAAGGGCAGGCAAGCAGGGATCAGGCCCTGAGCTGCTCTTCCAACCAGACACCAGGTTGTGCACTGTCCTTTAAACCTTAGCAATGGAATTAAAAAGGCCCAGTGAGTCTTCAAGAGCTAAATTAGAAGACATTTTGCAGCCCCTACTCCATCTCGTTTCATACCTGCCATGGCCTGCCCTGCAACCCTGGCAAGGCTGCAGGGGAGCTCCCCAAGCCAAGAGTGCCCTTTGTTAGGCTGCCTCCAGGTCAGGCCATGGCTCCTCCTCGCAGCCTCAAGGGGTGTGTATCGAGCTTCCTCCTCCCGGACCACCACCTCCTTCTTAGAGTGTGTGAAATAAAGAAATGATTCAACAGAGATTCAATGCAAAAAAGGAAATGCTGCCAAACAGGAAAGGGCTATGGCCAACAGTTTTGTCTTCCTTAAAGTCAGTGCCAAGAGGCAGTTGTTCTGATCCAACGTCTCTGAGATGGGAGAAGACAGGCCCCGAGGTTATATTTAGGAGCCACTTTCCTTATCCTGGGACTTCTTTTTTAGTAGACAAGGTCCCCAGACTACAGCAAAGGCCTGTGCAATCAGGTCAGGGAAGGCAAGGGAAACAAAGAGGGACAGCTAGTTTGATCTCTTTGACCTCCATGGTGCAGAGCCTCAAACTGAGCACAGCTGTAGGAGCTGAAAATAAACTTGGATCCATTCAATGAATATTTATGATGGGCAACTGTGTTAAAGAACAAACAGCTTATAAATGCAAAATTAATGTGAAAGATCTGTTACAGTGCAAAATCTCCACCTGCCCTGGAGGTTTGAGCTAAGATTTATTTTCTTATGTTTTTCATTTTAAAATTCAGATTTCCAGTACAAATACCCTTCCTTCCTTCCTTCCTTCCTTCCTTCCTTCCTTCCTTCCTTCCTTCCTTCCTTCCTTCCTTCCTTCCTTCCTTCCTTCCTTTTTGCAGATTAAAGTGAATTAAGGCTGGAGTTTTTTGTTTGTTTTCTTTTGATTGAGAGACACTTTGGATTTGATTTCTAACCTGTGGCGTACTCTGGAGACATTTCTTAGACAATCATCAAGATTGTTGATCTAATCTTTGAATACTGAACTCTGGTCATTTCAAAATAATAAAAGAATAAAAATAAAAGATCACAATGCAAGAAATGCTGATGGATAAGCCCCAGGGACAGGCGAGATGTCATTCTCAGAACGCCAGATAGAGTCAAAGCGTGAGAGGTCGATGATTATAATGCGTGTCACTCACTACATGCCTTCATGAATTTCATGGCTTTAGACCCAAACCATCTTCTGCTAACTTACCATGTCTCATTGTAACAGTCTGTAGAGAAACTACAGCTGGAGAATCAATGGTTTTGCAGAAAAGTTTCCTAAATTATTGTACTACAAAGGGCAAGAGCTCATGTGAAAAGTAAAAACATACCTTTGGTGACATGCTAGAGAATATCTCTTTCCTGGTATTCCCCCTCCTCCAGGCCAGTTAGTGAGGCCCTTGTTATCTTTTAAAAAAAGACATCTGTTTTGTAACATTTCACAGTATATCAGCATATTGGTGGTGGGTTTTGTCATCTACCAGATCTCTCAATTTCCCCCAGACCTATGGCTTATTAGATTCAATGAAAGGATCAGCATGGGAACAGTGAGGTACCCTAACGGCTGCCAGTCTGAGACACAAACAAAGGCCGTGCACTGAAGGGCCAGCCGTCAACGGGATCAAAATAACCTGGAAAACACAGACATCAAAACAGAAACGCCTACTGCATGTTAGGAATCTTTCTCTCTTTTTTTTTTTTTTTGCTTCTTATTTCTAAAGTTATATATCTAAACCTACATTAATGATACATCTATGTACAGTATTTAGAAGTTCTGTTCTATGGTACTTTTGTACATGCTGGGTTTTATTACTAACTACAAAAAGAAAATAATTACATAAGGCATATATATGTACAGTGGTTTGTCTTCAGCTCACCTGGGCCCTATAACTGCCACGCCCACACGGGGGCAAGCACCTCACCCTGTAGTAGATGAAAAGAATTGGGATCTATAAAACTGAGGGCTCCACTCTGTGTCTCACTGAATGAATAAATAGGCACCGGAAACCTTGCTTGTCATATCCCAGGTAAAATCTTTGACACACCTTTTTGAGTGATCTGGTATTATACAACACATGCAGGTAAGTAACTGAAATCTCCAGGAGCTGGACGTGTAGTATTTTGGGAGGAGACCAGGCTTGGGCCACAAACGAGAGCACTTTGCACCTTCATCAAATCCACGTCTACCTTGTCAATCTAAACAACTGAGAGAGGGCAGGTAGATATTTTACACCTTGAAGATTTGTTTTCTGGTCATGTAAAAATTAAATATAAATAAAGAACAAAGCAAGAGAGACAAAAAAGAAAGAGAATGAGAGACAAGGGAAGATTGTGTCAGGGGGAGAAGAGAAGGGGTTGCCCAGCTAGGGCACTAAACTTTGGATTCATTCTCCAGGTTTGCCACATCACCATTTCTTTCTGTTTGCTCTTCAAGGTTCTTTTCTTCCTCTTCAGTCTCTAGTTCTGCATGTTGGTTGAGTTTGCTGGATACAGACCAACTCAGGGGCAGCTCTGCCCTGCTGGCTAACTCGGCCAGCTCTTTGGCACTAAGGGATGGGGTGCTGGTCTCATAGGTCTCATGGAAGCTGTTGTAGTCAACTTCGTAGAACCCATCCTCCAGGGTCAGGACAGGCGTGAACCGGTAACCCCACAGGATCTCACTGGTGATGTAGGAGCTTCGAGCTTGGCATGTCATCCCTGCAGAGAGAAGAATGGAGGCTTTAGCATATGTGAATGTGGGCTTTCCATGGCCAAGGAGTCACAGAGAGCCGGGAGGAGTACTGCATGCAGCTGTTGAGACTGACCTGCATACAGTGCCACAACTTAGTAGGTGTCATTCACGTTGTAGACACATGCTAATGTGCCATGGAGATTCCAGGCCTCTTAGGGGAGTCCTGGGGAACAATGAGAGAGTCCTGGCTCACATCAAGCCACATTTGCCTGCACGGTCATGCACACACAAAGGAAATCAAGTGTGCAAATGCACACAAGTGTTTGCTTGTGTGTGGCTATGTCTGGTCCACTCTTTGCTCTGGGAGAACCCTGAAGCCATGACTCTGGCCTCCTACTACTCTTGGAGACTTAGCCTGGGTTCTAATGGTATTTGAGCTCTTTAGCCGCAGACTTAGAATGAAATTTCATATACGGAACTACACATAGGCTGCTTTTAAGCTAGAGGCCACAGATCAGTGTTACCCTCCCACCTGCCATTAATACACAGGCCATGACTGTGGCCCCCAGATGCAGTTGGAAGGGTTACCCACCTGAATTTGCACTTTCCTTAGGCCCAGTGGTCATAGTTACTCAGATTGTGCAATCATAACTACTTTAAAAGCTTTTCCCCCTTCTTTTTTTTTTTTTGAGATGGAGTCTTGCTCTGTTGCCCAGGCTGGAATGCAGTGGTTCCGATCTCGGCTGACTGCAAACTCCGCCTTCCGGGTCTAAGCAATTCTCCTGCCTCAGACTTCTGAGTAGCTGGGACTACAGGTGCACACCGCCATGCCTGGCTAATTTTTTTTTTTTTTTGTATTTTAGTAGAGACGGAGTTTCATCATGTTGCCCAGGCTGTTCGCGAACTCCTGAGCTCAGGCAATCCACTTGCCTCGGCCTCCCAAAGTGTTGGGATTACAGGTGTGAGCCACTGCTCCTGGCCACTTTTCCCTCTTCTTAAACATGAGAAGCCTTTCTGTAATTTGCACAAAAGCACCACGTGAGCTACCAGCAGCCCCGGAGTCAGGAAGTAGCTTTCTTTTAAATATGAAATGGCAGAATGAGGAAAATTCCAGCCAACTCGTTAGAAAATAAAAATAGGCAACAAGTGTGGCATAAGATATGAGAAATGACACTTGTGTGTGTGTGTTTTTTTTTCCGAGGCCAAAGAATTCTTTTATAAAAATTCTCAGGAAATGGAAATATTCGTTCAGTCATTAATCCAGGGCTGACTTCTCCATTAGGCAAAAAGGCATGGTGTCTACAGCTCATGATACTTTTAGAGGCCCATGAAAATGTTTTAACTTTTTTAAAATCAGAAAATATAAACTTTTAGATGGAAAAATTGTTAACGTATTCATCTTTACACCAACACAGTTGTAAAATACAATTTAACACATTTTCTTAATGGGGCAAGGGACTTACAAAGGCAAAATCACCAGGGACTCATGAATGTCATACTGTGGCCCTGTGTCCATTCATTCAGGAGAGCAGCCAGCCAGCCAGTTGGTATGTCATCTGTCAGGACCACCAATAAGTATTGCGCAGCTGCTTTGTGCTGAATGCAGGTGGATTAGGGAGAAGAGGATACCTGTGAATGTTTACACAGAAGAGTCCAGAGCTACACAACATTCCTGCAGCACTACATTTGCTCCTTGTGTCTAGAAGAAGAAACTGGGGTGCCAGGGACCTATGTGATTGACTTAACGATAGCTGTCGGGCCTGAGCCAGCACCAGCCCTCATCCTAGCTCTGTGCTCTTCCTCTTAATCTTAAAACCGAAATGTGACCCTTTTTCAATGTTTCCTTGGATGACCCACAGAAGCCCCCTCTTTATGCCTCTAAAACAAATATTGCAGGGCTTTTAGGTATTAGAAAAATAGGTCAACACTGATTTGATTTTACTTCTCAAACAATGTTTCTCTTCTGAATTGTTTTCTTTATCTGTGCTTGGGAGTGGTGGGGTGAAGACAGGTGATGGTAGGGATATGTGGGCTCAGAATGAGGAACAAACAGGAAGTCAAGAGGAGAAGGTGATCCAATAACTCTCTTTCCACCAAGGAAGTACATATTTATGGTAAAGTGGCTAGAAAATAGGGCTGTGATAACAGTTGGGGAAAACAGCAAGCTAATCAAAGAACAAAAATATATTTTTGGGAAAGATGTTCATAGGGAGCTTTGGAAAACTCTGACATATTCCTGAGAAACTAGAAGGCCACATGCATGTGTAGGGCTGTGCACATGCCCAAGAAAACCAGAGAAGGCCCTGAGCTCTCCCTTCTGGTTGACACTGAGGCTCTGTGCAAGTAGGAGGTGAAGGTTAATGCAGAGTTGTAAAGTGCCTGACTGAATGCTGAAGGCACGTCCCACCATGTACATAGAGACCCTTGACAAAGACTGGGAGATTTTTGGTTACTGGCTTTTAAGAGAACCTGTCTAATTATTAGCTGATCACTAAATTAACTGAGCAGAGACTTTAGTGGCCATATACACAAAAAGTACAGACCTTACAAAATTAGCTCAGGAAACTGACTAAAAAACAAATAGCAATGGCAACAAAAAACTCTGAAAAGGAGGGAAAATCTCATTTTCAGGATTACTACATTATATTATTTAAAATGCCTGTTTTCAACAAAAAACTATGACACATGCAAAGAAATAAGAAAGCATGTCCCATACACAGGAAGGGAAGCAGTCAATAGAAACTGTCCTTGAAGATGTCTAGGCATTGGATTCACTAGAGAAAGACTTTAAATCAGCTATTTTAAATATGTTCAAAGAACTAAAAGAAGCCACGTCTAAAGAGCTAAAGGAAATTAGGGAAACATTGTTTCCCCAAATAAAGAATATCAATAATAAAAATAAGTTACATGTAAAATCCAAACATAAATTCTGAAGTAAAAAGTACAATACATGAAAGAAAAGAACTACTACAGGAACTTCGCAGATTTGAGCTGGCAGAAGAGAGGATCAGGGAGCCTGAAGATAGGTCAGTTGAGATGATCGAGGTATAGAAATTAAGAAGAATGGAGAAAAATGAACAGTGCCTCAGAGACCTGTGGGACACCAGCAAGCATACCAACATACGCATTACAGGAGCCCCAGAAAGAGAGTATTAAGAGAAAATACCAGGAGTAATCTACACATCTAAGAAGCTTATCAAACCACAAGTAAGATGAACCCAAAGAGATTCACACTGAGACTCATCATGATCAAACAGTTGAAACACAATGATGAAGGTGGAATCTTGAAGGCAGCAAAAGATAAACAACTCATTACATGCAAGTGATTTTCAATGACATTAACAGCTTATTTCTCATTAGAAACCATGGAGGCCAGAAGGCAGTGAGAAGACATTATTCAAAGCACTGAAAGAAAAAGACTGTCAACTGAGATTCTCTATCTGCAAAATTATCCTTCACAAATGAAGGAGAAATGAAGCCATTCCATGAACAAAAGTGGAGAGACTTTGTTGCTAGCAGACATATACTCCAAGAAATAATAAAGGGAGTCCTTCAGACTAAAATAAAAAGACACTAGATAGTAACTCGGATGAGAACAGGTGTGTTCAGGGTGGTATGGCCATAGACTAGACCGTAACTCAAATCCACATGAAGAAATAAAGAACATTGGAAAAGGTAACTACATAGGTAAATATAAATGTTTTTCTCCAGCATAATTTTATGGTTATTCAATTTTATGGCAATTATACTATGCCATTATATGAATATATCATAGTTTTATTTAATCAATAAAACAAAATGATCCAAAATATGTGGTGGGTCTATTTGTTGGGGGAAATATTAATAATACTGACTTGGTTTGTGGAGGTTGTCTTAAGAGTACTATTATGGGCTGAATTGTGCACCCCCACCCCCACATTCATATGTTAAAGTCCTACTCTCCAGCATTTCAGCATGTGACACGTTTGAGATGGAATCTTTAAAGAGTTAATTAAGTTAAAATAAGGTCATACTGGTGGGCACAATATAATTGATGTCCTTATAAGAAGAGGAAATTAGGACATAGACACACACAGAGGAAAGATCGTGTGAAGACACAGGGAGGGGATGACCATCTACAAGCCAAGGAGAGAGGTCTCAGAAGAAACCAGCCCTGTTCACACTTTGTTCTCAGACGTCTATCATCCAGCATTGTGAGAAAATAAATTTCTGATGTTTAAACTACTCAGTCTGCGGTACTTTGTTATGGCAGCAAACTCGGTACACTTACTGAGTTCCACAGGGAGAGGAAAATACCTTTCCACAGTGCCATTTGAAAAGGAGTATTTAATTTGTGTAATAAGTAAGATTTAAGTAAATGCTCATGAATGCTTTTCCAATTTTTGTTCATCATTTTCGTATCAGAACTCATTTAAAAAAGGATAAAAAAGAATATTAATGTTTGCCTATCAGTAAACATTAAAAAGTATTTCTAGGGTAAATTGATAATTTTCTTCAGAAAAATTCCTGTCTTACATATTGACCTAGGTCCCAGTCCAGTCTTTAAAAGTGTGATGTTTTACTGAATTTGGAAAAGTAACAAAATAAAACCAACAGAGTTAGCCTCATAAGAAAAGCAGAACTGCCAAGATGACATCTGTGTGTATGCATGTGGTGTTTATGTTCCATATCAGGGAGATCATCATAAAGTCTCCCTGAGCTAGGTTATTTTGTGAGTATAGTACTTTCTGGAAGAAGTAATGTTTCATTCGATGAGGAGCAAAAGGTGGAAAACCTGATCTTTATCTCCTCTGAGCATGCAGTCATAGGTGTCTGTTTTTCTTTTCTTTTCTTTCTTTCTTTTTTTTTTTTGAGGACGAGTCTCGCTCTGTCGCCCAGGCTGGAGTGCGTGGCGTGATCTCGACTACTGCAAGCTCCGCTCCCAGGTTCACGCCATTCTCCTGCCTCAGCCTCCCGAGTAGCTGGGACTATAGGCGCTGCCACGGACGCCCGGCTAATTTTTTTTGTATTTTTTAGTAGAAACGGG